GTTAAGTGCGAACAATAAACACTGTTTCGTGAGAGTTAATACAGGCATATTTTGTATTCGCCGCTATGATTTCCCTGCCTTATCAATTTTTATCGATTAAAATTTATAAAAACATAAATTTCGATAATATCGAACATTTGTGGAAATTGATCGGCCCTTATCGTTGGGCCGATTTACCGATTTATTGATTTGGCTAACTCCGTTAGCTGCAATGAGAAATTTTTATCAGGCCATTTGGCCATAGAAGTTAGGTCTTCACCACTATCCAACTGTTATGATAAGACATTCTTTCATAATGCAGTTAATTTTGCGAAAGTTAGGTTTTATTTAAATCAATTAAATAATTGAGCGAACAATTTTTTTTACAGTGTTCTGTCCTATAATAATGAAAAAAATATCGTAGAATGCGAGTGCACAAATCTTTATTGAAAAGACAATTTTAACGATATTTATTTTTACAAACATCGATGATATAAGTAAATTTTAGGCAAAATAATTTAAAAATTTAAAATTTCTCAAAGCTTGAAAATATAAGTGAAAAGACTTTTTCACTAATAATTTCTTGAACTTTTCAATTTTCATTATGTCATTATTTCTTCAACTTCTTGGAGTTGATTTAAATGATTTTTTACACGATTTTGAAACTATAGGTTTTTTGAATAGTTTTATTTTCCTTAAACTGGGTGTATCAGTCTCATATTCCTGCCCTTCCCTTTAAATAATGGTACTGATTTCGTGACAACCATATTTTAGCGATAGACGAAGAAATTTTTTATTAGCGAAGAATTTTATTTTATAAGAAATTAATTGCCAAAAAAATTTATTATATTACTTTATTACTTTATATTTTTTTAATTTTTTTCAAATTTCAATAGCTGCTTTTTTAAAAATCATTTCTAATGAGTGGAAATAAAAGTATAAATGAAAGTGTTTGTTTGCTTTTGAAACTTTCTGATTATTGGTAAAAGTCGATGAAAATATCTTATTTCTATTTCTATATCTTATCCTAATAGGTGGTAGAGTTAAGAAAATGTTTAGCAGGATTCCGATTTGGCAACATGGAGGCCTTTTTCTAATTCTTACAAATGATTCAAAATGAGTGATAATTAATGAGCGATTTAAAATAGTTTCAGAGGGACTTAAGAAATCAAGGAATAAACAGTAATTAATCACTCACTACATATGATACCGGAAATATTAAAATAAATAAACTGCATCACGCTATAATTCTGTTGAATTTGATGTGTATCTTAAGGATGGAATTTTTTTGATGCCAATTTCGTGATCTCTGGTGATGCCCTTGTCACATTCTCCCTATTAATCCCTTCAAATAAATCTTCAATTCTTCAGTTTTATTTGCATTGATCTGCAATTGTGTAAAATTCGTTTCTATTATCAAAAAATGTTATTAAAATCATCAGTGGAATGAATTTTGGAATTTCGGCAATCCAGTGATTAAAATAAAACATACTTGATAACTTTGATAACCTTCTGAAAATATTCATCATCTCCAATATCTCGAACACATTTTGCCTCTCAGCGTCATCTTTCATTTCTAAAGCTTACTTCAGTCAAAAAATAGAAATCGAGCCGAAAAAGTATGGGAAAGGAATGGAAACAACGTGGTACGCAGTTATGCAGTTTAATTCTATGGAATTTCTTTTAAGCATTTTTGGCGAGTCTTGAGGTTTGCTTAAATTATGGGAAAACGATTTATTTTAAAAGATAACATTAAAGAATGATTTATGACTATTAAGAAAAATGGATTTCCAAAAAACAGAGCAATAAAGCAATTTTTCCATATTTTCATAAATAAGGCCTGCGAATAATTGACAAAAAAACTTTGGAAATTTGCATATAAAGCATCACCTGGTTTAAGATTAATTACATGGTAAAAAAAACATGTCTTCATTCCTTCCTTTCATCTAATATTTTTATTCTCTTATCAACCATTTCTGGTTTTGCTAACTTCACTGATTGCCCAGAATTATTTGGAAGATAAAGTGAATTTCCAGTCGGATATCATTTCCAAAGACAAAATTTATTCATGCCAAAAGAAGACAAGAAGCGATCCATGAGTATGAGCTTTTTATTAGTGAATAAAACTCAATTATTCATGCAAAGAAATAATACAGAAATTCATTGAGAAAATTACTGATTCAATCTGAAAATTGCAATGAAATAATGGTGTCCTCGCGAAATTTTTCTTAAATAAATTGCATAATTTTAATAAATTAGGTTAATTTAATTCTACCTTGAACTAAACACTTAATTGTTCGAATCTCTGATAGTTAAATTTTAACTCATCTTGCTAAAGGCTAACTGGCGGATAATTGGGTCATGCATTTATTCATATAAACGCAATTAGTTCTCGGTAAATTCACTCTCTATTAATAGGTTAAATAAATCGCCTTTGTTGAGTTCTCCATTAGAAGCTTAAAACTTGTTTTTAATCTCTTAAAGGTTGTATTTAGTCTGAAAGTTAACTGTATAAGTTATTCGTCATTTTATTAATTTTATTGTATCAACTAAACTTTCACCCTCATGATGGTGACTTATACTAATTTAACGAAAGCTAAAATTCTCTACGCTTCAGTGCTCCAATTTTCCGTGGGGCTTTAACTTTTGATAGGAAAACAATAGGAGAATCAAAAAAACTTAATCAATAACCTTATCAATAAATCACAATCTTAAATAAGGTTTCTTGATTCTCAGTCATTTACATTGGATTTACAATCTTCACAGTTTTATTGTTCATTTTCCTCAATCAATTGATTTTTTCCATTTCTTAATTGGAAATTTTGCGTTATCTTACTCAGTTACAGTTGCAGTTACAATTATAGTTAGTGTAATCAAAATATATACTTATCTGCAGTGATAAAGACTGATTTTCGTAAAGCTTGAGAAGATTGTGATAATTTTTTTGCAAAAATGGTCTTAGCGAATTTTTCACAGGAATTCAGTATCCATGATTCTCTTATTGCAGATTTATTATTTTGATTTACGAGTGCATAGTGTAATAAATTCTACTCGAATTAAATTAATTAAAAAAATTAATACATCACCATTTTTACACTTTTAGATCATTTTTGAATTTCAAGCTCTAAACCATGGATATTGATAAAAATATTATATGAATATTTTTGCCGAATCTGGAGTCCAGTAGGGTTCGACATTAATTGATATGTCAATATACAATCTTCAACTGGATATACAATCTTCAACTGGACACTTTTTAAACAAATTTCTGTCGTTTTCTAATCATTGATATTCATACCTTTTTTAATCATTGATATTCATACGCTTCATGATTTATTTTAAATCCAATCTATTCTCTAATTAACATTTTTAATTAACAAATTAAATTATAATGATTAGTGAGATAGAATGGCTCAGTGGGTTGTTGCTCAAAAATAATTTGGAGCACCGATGCTGAGGTTCGGTTATCTACAGGAGTAAACCTGTACAAAATTCCGGACGACTCACCTGCATTTCAATCGCCAGGGGACTCCTTGGCATTTTGCCTAATGCGACAAACCAGTGGAGCGAGATTAACCAGTAATGGTGAGGACTCTTAAAAAAAAATTTATAATCGAGTACGTTATGTAATAATATCTGTTATGCTCGCTATATGCTTTAAGGGCTGTGTAAATATCTTGATTATATAAATTTTCAAGAAATTGATAAGAATTTCCGCTTCATAATATTTGTTTCATCATTCAACTTACAAATGTTTTCCATTTATTACATTAAGTAATTTCCATTTCCATTTATTGGTAATTTCCATTATTTCCATTTATTAAAATTTATTTTTTAAAATTGTATCAATATTTTTGCCGAATCTGGGATGACATATTTGAGTGATTATCATTTTACATTTTCTCTGCGGGCTATTAGAATGATTATAAATTGTCATCTAGGGCTCACTTATTGATAGGAGTGAAGGTGGGTACCGTCGATTTTTTTGATAGAAAGTTTGTACCTAACAGGGTCAGAGAATCAAATCCATGGTAGAAATCATGAATAGAAGTGATCACACCACTTAACCACTCTTGTCTCTCCATATTTAATACCATTCCATTTTACTATGTTTTACTTTGCCTTTTTTCCTTCTTTTTTTATTAAAATCCAATTAATTTTTCCAAGTTCATTGGTTTGCTTATCTCTTGTTTGAATCTTTACTCAAAATTTCATACTCGAAAGTAGCACGAAATAGTCAAGCGAGCAGTCCCTTTTTCGTGATATGGGATCATGATGTGTTTTCGTGATATGGGGTCATGATGTGTTTTACTTTCCATACATCTGGATAATATGAAATCTCAAGTTACCGGTGATTATCACAACAGTTGAAATATGTTTGATTCAAAAGACTTCAAAAAATTTTCAGTTATACGATGGAAAATCTCAGAAATATCTCAGTGAGTGAACGAGTAAACCAAAATTTTTGATGACCGATACCGACTATATTGGCAAAGTTCAGAAAGTGGAAGAGGGCAGTCGATCAAATTCATCACAGCTACTCTTCATACACTTCAACTCCATCAATATGCATGCTTTTTTCTATAATATGTAAGTGAAAGTCCTCTTAAGTGTGTTGCATTTATTTCCGCCATCACTTTCACTTATATTCATAAATTCATAACTTATTCAATTTCTTAATGATTATTTACAAAAAGATTTGTGGTATTTATAATTCCTGCTGATAGAAGGAAAAGTAACATGTTATTTCCTTGAAAATTATTTCCTGATAATCAACATATAAGCACTCAAAGTCTTTTTTTTATGCTTATGATTTATGATTTTGAAAAAATTTAATTGGTAGGTGAATTTCCAATTAATTCTAATTAATCTTAATTTTAATTTTAACTGAAGTAATTTTTATAATTCTATCATAATTAAGGCAATTTAACTGATTTATAAGTTTGTTAGGTAGTGATTGATAAATGATTCTTCTCTTATCTACTTGAGATTATTTCGATTATTTATTGGTTTCTGAAAGATTTTCGCTATTTGTGCTTGTTAGATTGATAAGCGCTATAGTGGTACAATTATCGACATGCACGACATCCACGATAGATAACATTCACTGTACAAGAATATCGCCAATGCAAGGCGACATTACTGAAATGGATGGCAGTGGAAAAAAAATTAATATGAGAAATTCACTGGTTGCTGAAATCACTCTAAAAGAAACAGTTTGTCTCAACTTCACGGTGAAAAATTTTAATTTGATCTTTTCATTTTTGCATTTGACTTCAGAATACTGAAAACATTTCAAGAGAAAAAAGAGCGCTGATAAGTGAATTTCAAATAAATTAGATATTTTTCAGAGTTCGCGAACTCCTCAACTTCATACATTTGAATTTGTTCGAATGGAACAACATTTTCCTGTCGTTGCTTCTTATAAATTTGGAATCCCACAAATTCATACATCGTGCATATGCGACTGCGCAGGCGCTGAACAATATTGCAGTGTTGAAACACATAAATACAAGTAGAAATTTCAAATTTCAACTTTATTTCGAAATTGCATAATTGGGATACATCAAAGGACATGCGTGATAAATATATATTATATAAATATATTATTATACGCATGAATGATGGAAGTGATGTAAAATGAAAATAATGACGATTTAGTGATTGTAAAAATAGCGAAGCATTCACAGAGTTATTAAGGCACGTAACAAATTCAGAAGAAATGTCAAATGATATAGCTAGACAATTCATAGTGAGCGATAACTTGAAATTAACTAGGAACATTTCATTTATTTCAGAAACTGCAGCAAAGGATCAGTATGTTATCGCACCTATCATCCATTTCAGTCAAACACAGGATGTATTTCGTCTTCTCGAAGCGAAGTTTGCTGTGAAATTATTATTGAACCAGCCCATGTTATTTTTATGTATTTTTATTATATATTTATGTTATTTTTCAATAACAATTATGGAAATTTTCAAGGTCCATATCTAGTAAAATTGTTTTAGTAAAATTATTACGAACCAGAAATTTTTCAGAACAAGGTTTATACGGCCGTGAAACTCAATCAACCCGATACTATCATCATATTAAAATACAGATTTCTCGAAAGAGCAGCTAATCGTTGGGTGGAAATGCTTTCTGAGGAATTTGAAGCCATTATTAACAAGGGCTCAGCAAAAATTGAAAACATTGACGGCCACAAAGTAATTTATCAGCAGTGATTTATTAGCTTTAAATTTTTAAATTAAATATTTTTGAATTTTATTGTGATAGATTTTAATATTATATGTATTTTTATAATTTTTAATAGTTATTAAAATAAAAAGACTAGTTCTGTTGGCAGCTAGCATTAATTAGAAATTTTCATGAGGCATAAAATTTTCATCACATAGATTCGTTTAATAGAGGGGGTAGGAAACTCCGAATTCTTGCCACTCATGGCGTTAATCACTATTATTTCGATTATTGAAATTATACACCATAAAACTAAAATGAATTTTGAATTCTATAAAATTTTGCATTTTGTAATTCTTTCTAATTAAATTCCAAATTGCGGAAACCAAAAGTCCCTGGAAATATTGGCTATACCAGTCTTTAAATTTAATCATATTTTCAATATATTATTTGTTTCAGTTCACCATTTATTTATTACAGTATTTAATAAATATTTTTGAACTGTGGAAAGTGGAATAGAAACGTCATTTTTAGACCGAAATCCGAGCCACTTCAGGACGTGCGATTCGTGAAATGACTGAAGGATTATATTACTTCTGGGATGAAAAAAGAGTGCTTATGAGTGGAGTGAGACTGAATGATCCAGCTGAAAGCAATATACACAAACTTGGATGGCTGAGGAGAGAAGAAGGAATTTGGGTGATAAGGAATGGCATAATTAAAATCACTGATTCTCAGGTAAATGAAAAATTCAGCAAATTCCAGTTTTTTTTATAAACACTCTCGTATTGCTTTGTAATTGCCACTGATTATTTTTTTAGCATATAACTATAGAAAATTGCAAAAGTCAACGATACTTGACGCGTTACAATGCTGATTATTTCCTGACAGATAGCAATGACATTTCGCAAATGGATTTAGGCTTCAGAGTTGATGAGCTTAGTTGGGTTGAAAGGGTTCTTATTTCAAGTAATACCAGATCCATACGCGTATTACATGCCGAAGGAACTGTTGTTCATCTTACGATTACGACTGACAAAAAGTAAGCCAATTTTCAAAGAGTTATTATTGGAAATTATTATTTGGAAACTGTAGCCAAGCAGGATAAGTAAACCTACGTGTATGTAAAAGGTCGCAAATTTTTGCAGAATTTTTATTTAACCTTTTAGGCCTTTGATAGTGCAACATACTTCCCAGATCCGATCATTCGATGGTTTTCTCCGAATGGATGATAAATCGAACCGATTTCTTAATCTGTCGCTTATTGTTAGTATAATCATTTTCCAATCTTTATTTTTTCAACAGTGCTGATTTTGCCAAATAATATCGCTCTTAAATTTTTCTTTATTTTCTAAATCCATCTTAGCAATCATCATTTCTGGTTAAGTCCTGTCGGCTATTATTACAATTAGAAATTATCTGAGATTATCATTTGGCGATAGAAATACAATTAAGATGTAGCACAGCTCGGATTTGTTTAATAACAGGTTTACTTCTATCGGATACAGAAGCTAAACTCAACATGTTGATCTGAGCTAACTAATCAACCATTCTGTGTATTGACTTGATTTACAAGATCTACAGCTGATGGTAGCAAAGTTCAAATTCTCCTTCAGTCATTTCTTTTCAGAGCTTCTTTATCTTTAGTGAAAATATTCAACTGATTTGGTGAGATACCCAGTGGTTTCACGAAGTATTAGTTGCTGTTTTCCACAACCAAAGCCTTGGAAATTACAGATTTATGGTTGTATTTTACATATACAAAATATCCTATTCGAATAAAATTGCAATTTGTACACACGTTATCTGCAAGTTAAAAGCAGAAAAAAACAATATTTGGACAATTGATAATGAATAATTGTGGAAATTATTTATATGGCAAATTATGGCAAGTTCGCAGTATAAAAAACTTGCTTCAATTTGCCAGCGGTCAAATTTATCAATTTTAGGATGTTAAAGGAACACTTATTGGATACATTCATCAATCTGAGGAAAAAACAAAAACAGAATGGAGTTTTAGTGTGGAGGTTGGATCGTTCTTAAAGCATCATTTTATAACGACAATTGGTGGTATTCCTCCAGAAATAAATAATGATCGCTACGTATGCATACATCCAGCTGGAGATATCAATGCTGAAAAATGCAAATGGCTACAGTATGCGGCTTTTCATATTAAAAATTTATAATGCTGATACATATAGTCTAAAATATAATATATAAAATATAATATAATATATATAATAAAAATATATAATTTAAGATATGAAGCGGATCCACTACGGCAAGTTCGCTACACACCACGTTGGCAAATTGGCATTGGTGATTGTCCTGGATGTAATGAACGTGGATTCGACAATTTTTTACAAAAATTGGATCCTAGACAGTGGCTAAATGGTCTAGATTCGACTACAGAAATAGTTACATGCGCTCTTGAAGTCACTCTTGCAATAGCAACCTTTTTGACCACAGTTCTCATATTTACTAAATGCGTTATTCCGTTGGCAAGATGGGTAATTTGTTTAGCCAGTCCATCCAAAAAATAGTGCCTAACTAAGAAGTGAAAGGAAAGGTTCACGAGGTAAACATGACAACAGAAAAAGTGGAAAATGTTAATTCTTAAAGTAAGTTTGAAAAATTTTTCTCTTAAATATTCTAGCATTCTAATGGATAACCCAATGATCGTGCAAATTTTATGCAAAATTTCTAGTCTTATCGGGCATCAAGTTTGTTATTACGAAATTCTTACGAAATGTATGTTTTAAACGTGTTTCACGAGGTCGAAATTCCTGTGAACTGTCTTGTAATATTTTTCTTGTAATATTATGACAATGATCATACAATTTTTTTCAAAAACCGTTTTTTTGCCTCTAGAATATTTTCTTTGCGAAACCTGTGATATTTGCATTTGGTGCGTATTCGCTCATTTATACTGGTGCTTATGCTTATGTTTTTGCCTTAAGTGACTTTTTGTCTTAATGCTGCTATTTGAATTAAACTTACTCCATCGAAATATCGAGCTTACTCTTTATTACTATATTACTATATGGACTGAAAACAGTTTAAATATTTTATACATTTATAAAGCGATATCCGGCCTATTTTTCATAACTTCACAAGAACTTAAAGGTCGAAGAACTTTTGTTTTTTTATATTTGTACTTATACAAAGAAAAAATGCCCTTAGGAATCTCAGCTTGACGAGATAAATATAGCTTAATCAAAGATTTCATCTCTTTATACGTTTACTGAGAAATTTATCCTCCGAGAAAATACTTTTCCAAATGGCCCTACGAAAGCGAAATGTCATTAAGGTGTCATTTAAAATACAGTGATAAAATAAATGAATAAATCACAAATTTGTTTGTTCCATTTTTTCAAATTTATCTAATTAGCTATTTATATAAATGCCATGAATGCCATTCGAATAAAACATGTAACAAATAAATATGTACAAGTTTTTTTATTATACAAAAGCTATTCATCAATATTATAAGTTCAGCACATTCATACCATTAAAAGAATGAATAAATGAATTTAACAAATGAATGAATTTCCATATGAAATTAAATAAATAAAGGAAGCTAATTAAGTTTATGGTTACAATTTTACAACATTTTTTCTCATAATAAATAGATAAAATTCCAATTAAAAAAATTAAAAAATGCAATTTTAGGTTGGAAAATATAACATAAATATATCACTACGACGATAAATATATCACGAATTTAAAGAAGATGATAATATATATACTCACTTGTACTCATTTTTAAAAATTCTCACCATTCCTAATTAGACTCCCTCATCTGGCCTATCGCACTATACGAATATGCCAGGGAGTCCCTTGACGATAGGAGCAAGTTGTCTGGATAAATACGCATATAAATATATAAATATGTATATAATATAGTATATAATATAAATATAAAAATAATAAAATATAATATAATTAAATATAAAAAACAAATTTCTGGATTTAAAATCAGGATCTACTTTATTCTATTGGAAAAATCTTATATTTCGAAGTTTACCTAAAAAGATTTTTGGATGACGTTGTGAAAATTAGGTCAAAATTAGAATATAAGAAGAAGTTATTGCTTATCAAATTATAAAAAGGAAAACGACTAAAAATAATTAAAGTTTAAGTAATAATTAATTAAAAGTGAATAAGTGGAAGCAACGATTCGTGATATTTATAAACAATATTTAGCAGAATCACCAAATCGCGAAATATTTTTAAATCGACCACAACAATGAGTTGGATTTTCATGAACTGATGTGGCATTTTCTAAATATGAAAGATAGCAGGGCATTGTAAAACGAGTTGAAACCATATCAATAATTGCTGAATAGGTCGTTGAAGCGCCACAAGCAATTGCTAATACTGAAATATCACAACACTGAAAATTTACTGCCATATTTCAATACATAATTATTAGAAATATGTGAACTGACGAAAATTTTAGAAACGATTAATTTAATGATCACTAATTTATCTAGTGATTAAGAATATTTTCGAACAGCTAAACGTTTCATAACTGGCCGACTTCACTGCCTCGACTTGACTGGCCCACTGACTATCAGGAGGAAACCAGGAAATCTCTTGGAGATAAAAACAAGTGGATTTCTAGTATCAGTCGGATGTTTCAGTTTCTCTTATTTTTAATTTAAGATTTTAAGATTGATTTTAGATTGAAGCATTGAAAAAAATTTTAAAAAATTCATTTATTCCACTTACCTATTATTATAACGTTTAACGTGAGTCGCATTTTGGGAGTTCGTTCAATAATCCTAAAAAATATTTATTAGTAAATAACATCAAAGATGCAGATAGAATGTTATAAATTATACTTTACAATTTACTTATATAAGGTTGGTCGTCGATATTTTTTCGTCGATTCATCAAATACTGCTGCTTTTAAATATAAATTGTAAAGTGAAGGTAAAACGGCAGATGTCAATGCGACCGAAGTTCCGCCAATAACGTTTAGAATAGGCCCAAAGGTCGGTACAGTTTCAGCGACAAAAATAACACAAATCATAACTACTGTTCGTATAAGAATTCTTTGCCAGCAAAAATCTATAAAAAAAACTATAAAAATATCGTCTCACTATGTGATAATGTGACGATCATAGTTAAAATAAAATTGGATTTCACAGTATATCTTAAGATAGAAACTGAGATAACTTACGATGCGGTGCATTAAATAAATGCTCAACTTCCTGATTCAAAGGATTTATCACCACAGTCAAGGTTAAAATGCAATGCACTGCTATAAACAAATTCGCACCACGTTGAATCCATTCAGTCTGCAAAAATTTTTTAATATATTATGAGAGTTAGAATAGTTGAATAGTTGTCGCAGATTATCGGTCCGAATTGCCATAGAATTGTCTGAGCCCTCTTCCGTAGAGAATTAGCCTATCATTAAATCCGATCAGTATTGGCTATCCACCTTTATTTCAAGCAAGTGACTCCAACATAAAAGTTTTTTAGCATACCAGTAAGTCAAAAATTTAGAATAAATAAAAAAGAAATTATGTATAATGTCATAGATAAATATAATTTTAATGAAAAAACGTGAATAAAATTAAATTCGTTATTCGTTTAACTTCGAATTAGAAAAAAATGAAATGTATGCTTTATTATAATCTTCTAATAACTTTTGGGCTCTTGTTATTAGCATGAAATGTCCCCCAGTGAAATGAATTTTTATAAAAATGAATTTATAAATCAATTTTAATAAAAATTGGGTTGACATACTTGAATAGAATTTATGATCGACGATTCAAGACTATCTCCATAAACATTATAGCCCAAAATAGAAATTGGACCATACATTGCAGTAACAACTGAAAGCAAATTCTTAAGGAATTAAAAATGGTACAAAAGATCAGTTTAAAATTCTAGTCAGAATGAAATGAAAAATAAAGTTTAAAGTTACAAAAAACATCGACTAACGTGCAAAGGCAACGATTGCTGATTTCGTAAACTTATATGGATTTTTCATATCATGTTGAACTGTAGGAAAAACTGCATGTCCGCCAAATCCGAACATAAAAGTGCCAAAAGAAAGTACCAGGCTGCTAGCTTGAAACTCAGAGATACCTCGAGCATGATAACAGATTGGAGCATCCAATACCGTCCCGATCATGATTAATATAGCAGATAAAACAGTAGTGAACATCGCTCCAATAACCGCCCACCTTTACAAAAATGATTTTAATTGATTGATGATTTCAGGAAGAAAAACATGAAAAAAATAAAGAATAAGAACGGACAGATGAGCCTTTTTAAATCAATCTATAAAGGAAGTGAGTAAATAAATATTTTTTGAGGAGAAAGAAAAAATTCTGAGGAAAAGGAATCAACTTTTACTGTACTTTTCTGTAACAGATGCATAATGCAGGTTGCATGAAAATTTTTAAAATTAAATCTAACGTTAAAGTAGAAAAAATAACCAAAAATCTTGTGGAGATTTAAGAAGAGTAACTGGATGTAAAACGAAGGCGAGGATAACAATCATGAAACAAAATCCAATATTACGTCCCATTATGGATGTAACGAAGTCATTAATTATGTGTGCAGCTAGCAATAAATAAACGACTGAGACACCGAACAGCATTACATTTAGAATGCCTGAGCATATGGATCTGCAATAATTCGAACCGATAAAGGAATTTTTCAAAATAGCATGTCAAGAGGAAAATTTCAGGAAGCAGCAGTAAAATCTTAAAATGGTGGCTTTATATCTTTTTCGTTTGCCAGTTAATAAATTCCGCTTATTAATAATGAAAGCAACACTTTGCACGTCTTCCCATGGCCCTATAAGCCATTTCCGGATAAGGCTTGCGGCAGTGCTCTTCATAATCACTCCAACGTTCGCACATTATAGTCCAGTTCTCTCCCAAAATATGTGCTGTGTAGCAAAATCCTATGGATAAGGCGATAATGATAATTACCCCTATATAACCGCCTGAAAACACAATGATTGAAACAGAAGTGGCAGTGATAGCAAAAAAGAATTATTTCATTGTGGCATGATGCCACAAACGAAATTTCAATTTACCCGACTGTAACATAGCAATTGGTAGCGCAACAATTCCACCACCGGCCAAATCAGCCACAAGAAATAACGCAGTAGTGAACCATCCCAGTCCTCTAGATTTCTCGCATGTCTTAATTTCGATCTCAAGATCTGCTACTTTATTTGAGCCAGTAATCTCTTTGGTCATTCTGAAAAATTGGAAAATCGAAAAAACTTGAGGATTATCCAGTTACAAACGCAAAATTATAAAAATTTAATTCAAGAATATTCAAAGCGCAAAGTTTCATTACGTTCATATCACTATGTGCCATTCGCAGTTCTATTTTTATATCAGTTATGTGCGAATTCAGTAATTCAGTTGTAATTCAGTTGCTTTATTACTTTATTGCTCATCTTATTAATCCATAATTTACAGAAAAATAAGTGCAAGATAACTCATGATAATGTACATAAAAAAAATTAATTAGTGGAATAAGTATTTACAATATATGTTATCAT